TGACACACAATTTAAATACCTTCTCTAACACCAACTGAAAATGCAGTTCTTCTTCTGACGTTAATCACCAGAGCTAGATCAGATATCACAAATTAAGAGGCACAGTCCTCCAGACTACCAAATCTTCCCAAGATTTCAGATCCAGCCACAAACTCAGGAGTCCCCACAACACTCTCACTTCTGACCTTCTAGATATCGCTACCCCCTCAGGTTATCAGCCATAAGCTCAGAGTACCCAAGACCTCCTCACTTCTGACCTACTGGCTACAAATTTTGGGGTTCCTACCACCCCTTCAAATTCAGTAATTCACTAGAATGATTCACAGCACTCAAGAGAGCACCATACTTATGATTACAGCCTTATTATAGTAAAAAGAATACAAATAAAGAGACATAAAGGGTGTGTTATGAAAGGGTCCTTAACATGGAGCTTCCATGACCTAAAAGGGACACATTCCCCTCCCAAGCATCAATGTCTTTCACCAGCCAGGAAGCTCACCTGAGCTTCAGTGTCCAGAGTATTTATTGGAGTTCCACAGGTTGAAGTCCCTCCCCTGAGGTTAGACTAATATCACATAGTAAGTCTTTCTAACATTGCTACCCCACCCGAGTGCCACCTTGGTAGCATAACAAAAATTCAATCACTCAGGAAATTCCAAGAGTTGAGAGGTTATCTCTCAGGAACTAAGGACAAAGATCAAATCTTCAGTACAGTTAATTGTATACCCCAAAGGAAGGGAATATAGAACTCTCTTCTCAACAGAAGTATCAAAGAATTTGTGACTATCCACTACATTCAATTAATATCCAAAGCATATTTTTACATTGTAGTTATTTAAAAACTTTCTGGAATGGCTGAAGCTTCAACTTTCTGAGTAATTATTTCTGTTCATGTAACTTTAAAAAGAGATTAAAAAAAGTAGAATTGACAGTCAATATGATATCTAAAGGTTGTCTTTTAAATATCATTTGACTCAATTCAAGTGTGTAGGAGTACAGACTCCAGATTCTGGAGTCAGATGACTTGGTTTAGAATCATAGGGTCCATCATTTATTTGCTGAATGAGTTCTTCAACTGTAGTTTTCCTATGTTAAAAACAGGTGTAGTAATATCTATGCCATATTGTGGAGACTAACATACACATATAAAGTACGTGGAAAAGTGACTGACGTGTAGTAGACATTAAAATGTTATTTGGGTTGTCCTCTGCCTACCACATACAATTTTTGTAAAGATTACATAAACAGTGTATGTAAAAGCACATAGCCCAGTGACTAACACTGCATAAACACTTAACACATGTTTGTATTTATTACTAAGTGCTAAATACATTCTATTCAAGATTGAGTTTTCTAGCCAATGGATGAAGTCACTATCAAAGATCAACAAACACAGAAGGAAATAAAATAGCATGAAAAGAGTCAGCAGAAATAAAAACAAATTTATATCCCCAAAAGTTCAGTTATTAGAATTATTCAATGTGAACTCTAAAATAAGTATTGTTGAAATATTTAAATTATTAATGGATGGAATCACAAATACAAACAAGTCCAGTTACCGAAAGGGCCAGGCAAATGTTACAAGAAACAAAATACAAAGTGAAAAAAAAAAAAACTGACAACCACAAAAAATATAATAATTGAAATTTTAAAAAATTCAATATAAATTACTCAATTGAATAGTAAAATCAATATAGTATACCTAATCTTTTTGGATTCAGCTATAACTGTGCAAAGGAGAATAAATGCATTGCCTTGACATGATTTCTATGTCAATGTCAGGGCCCTGATAGAAAAAGATTGGGACCTTGAGACCTGAAATAGCAAAAATCTGGATGGACAAACATGAGAATCTTGAATTCCCAGATTCTCATGAGCAATCTGGCCTAAAAGAAGCAGCCCCCTCTCCTTGCTAGAGGAAAGAAGCCTGCTATCATGGTGAGATGCTGCAAAGGCCTCACAAGATGAAGCTTGTCCTTTAAAGATTAGTCTTTACCCCTCTCATTGCTTCCAGGGTAATTACCAGGACAGGTGTCAACATAACAGGAGGAGAAAATATTGTACCTGCTTCAGGAAGTTACAGCTTATCTACTGAAGAAATTATAGGATCTGATTAATAACAGAAAATACCAGTAAAGCATATGCAGGAATGAATCTTGAGCATATTGGACCAGGGGGTTGCAATATGAGGCTACATCAGGGAGAACATGGATGCGCTGACCCATGATGACTCAAAGTTCACCCCCCATCAGTGACATGTGGAGATGGTTCTGTTGCACTCCTGGGATGGTTCTTTGAAGCTTGACCAGGCCAATGACCTACAGTAAATAAAGTGGAGATGATAAAGTTGAGAATGTTTGGCTAGATTTATTGTGAAGAACTAATCACATGACCTGGTTCCCTGAGAAGATCCAGAGGACAATCCTTTCACTAAGGCAATAGTGAAGCTCTCTGGGAAGCTTGGTGATAGATGTCCTCTGCAGGCCATGGTTGGCAGTAGGAGAGGCTGTCACAAAATTAATCTCTCTAGAATTAAAAGGGAAACCCTGGTGGCGTAGTGGTTAAGAGCTATGGCTGCTAACCAAAAGCTCTGCCGTTCGAATCCACCAGGTGCTCCTTGGAAACTCTATGCAGCAGTTCTACTCTGTCCTATAGGGTGGCTATGAGTCAGAATCGACTGCACGGCAGTGGGTTTGCTTTTTTTTTTTTTATTATTTTATTTTGGTTTTAGTATTAAAAGACAGCCGTAGTGGCACAGTGGTTAAAAGCTATGGCGAGCTAAGGCTGCTAACCAAAAGGTCGGCAGTTTGAATCCATCAGCCACTCCTTGGAAACCCTATGGGGCAGTTCTACTCTGTCTTGTAGGGTTGCTATGAGTCATAATTGAATTGACGGCTAGAGGTTTGTTTTTGTTTTTGTTTTTTACTATCAAAAGAGTTGGTAAGGTTTGGGAATGGCAGAAGCCAGATGGTAGCACTTAAATGCCAGAGTCAAGGTAGGCATACTTTCTTTAATGGGTAGCAAACTGGGAGTGGCAACCCAGGTGGCTTGACCTGCAGAGACTTGTGGAAATGGCTAACAAGTAATGGTAAGTCAAATGGCAATATAGATGAACAGTTAACTAGGGAATTAGTTGGCTTGTCTAAAGAGAGACCTGGTGAGCAAAGGGCTGAGATCAGTCAATGCAAAGGAAAATCCTGATCCCTCAACCTTTTTCTATATCTAAATCAGTTCTCAGAACCAGAGCCCTTAAAAAAGGACCTTGCAAGAATACAAGTATATATTATAAATATTCCCTCAATCTTTTCTAAAATGGACTTTCAACCATTTTACCAAAGTTAAACTGTGCATTGTGAAAAAAAAAAAAAAAACTAGACTTTTGTATATGGCATTTAAGCTGATGCTGATAGGAAAGACTTGAAATGTTATCATGGTCCTCAAGTTAGAGTGGGGCTTTTATCAAGCTAGAGCACATAAGGAGTTTCTGGCCCAATCTGTCTCACAGAGAGTCCAATATATGTACTTTGTGGTGGTTTTCCTCAGTCACTGAATGTATAATTGGGATGAATATTCTTAATGTCTGGCTGAACATACCCATTGATTCTCTGACCTATAGAATAAGAATGATCATGAGAGGAAGGGCCAAGTAGCCAAGTAGAACCCCTAGCCAAAACAGCAAGTAAGAGGCGATATTGTATTCCAGGAGGAATTACAGAAATTAGCACCAACATTAAAGACTTAAAGGAATTATGCGTGGTCCCATCACATCTCCTTCAATTCACCTAATTGGCATAAACAAGATGGATTATAGTCAACTGTAAACTTAAGAAAGAAGTAGCCTCAATTGCATTACTTTGTCATGTGTGATACTGTTACTGGAAGGGATCAAGAAAAGCTGTCTGGAGGGAGGGCTGAGAATGGGCAGAAGCAGGGCTACTATGAAGCTAACAAGGCTGAGCCCCCTGGCTTCTCCCTCACACAGACTGTCCAAGGCCTTGGAGGGCCGTATCCATGATCATATGATCACATAGTTTGGTATTCATAGTTTCTTCTTCTTTTTCTTAAATAGAATCTCAAATTATAAAAGCCTCAGACCCTATGTAACACAGATCTACCCTGGAGAATGGGCAAATAATCCAGAACTTACCCTATCTTCAAAGAAATTCATTTGTCATTTTATTTGAGTTTTAACAGTAATAAAATATTATTGTTTTACATGAATAATTAAAATAATATAAAAAAGAAATCCTCCATCTATAATTCCACTCTGTAACATAGTTGGTATAGAAACTGTTTTTCAAAGCATATCCATATACATTCAAAGCTGAGAAACTCCTAGCCCAGGGCAAAATTGATGACAAAGACCTTCCTCCAGAGCCAACAGAGAGAGAAAAGCTTCCCTTGGATCTGCTGCCCTGAGTTTGGGCTTCTAGCCTATGAGAATGTGAGAGAATAAACTTCTGTTTGTTAAAGCCATGTGCTTGTGGTATTTGTTATAGCAGCACTAGATAACTAAGACACTCATTATATTCAGAGAAGAAACATCAAGTTACAAAACAATGTGTGACATAATTTTGGGTTTATAGATAATGATTACATAGACGTGAAAAGATTCAAAGAATATTCAGATAGTTAATAGTAGTCATCTTTGAGAAATGGAATTATTGGAAGGGTGGATTCTTTTATTTTTAGAATATTTCCAGTTTTAGTTATCCGTCTTATGCCCAAAACTAACTTTATTAAAAGTAAAACAGAAACAAGAGAATGAGAGATGAAGAAGGAGAGAAAAAATTAGGGTAAACTAGCCTCAATATGTTTCGCAGAAAAGGGAATTAAATGGACAACGTTTAGAGCAGGATGCCAGAAAATGTTTACTAATGTTGGCTGTTTCCCAGAATTAAGCAGGGCTCTGTAGCAATTGATGATTGGAATAGAACTGAGTACATAATGAAAATCATGTTATGCAATTCTTTTATCAGATCAAACTTATTTTTTTACAGACATTCTTTGCTTCGTCTATTCCATAAAATAGTATTTACTGATGAATTTGAATATGTCGGATACCTTATGATACTAATGAATCTGTTTCCTATCATAATTACTTGGATACCTGTTTTAAATAAAATTTATAAGAAAGAATTAAGTCAAGTTAACTACTTTTTTCTTGGATTTTATATTCTGGAGGCCCTACTTAAGGTAATCTAAAATTGGTGTGCATGTGTGTGTGAGTGAATGTGTCATTTGTCTAACATGGAGACTTCCTAACTTGACAAGTTTTTAACACTACATACAGACAACTTTTAACGGATGTAGAAATTGTCATTCTCTTCTCAGAGCAAATATACTTCAATATTTAATGTTAGTTCCGGGTGATTCAGTCGAAAATATGCATACTATAAATATTGATTTTGTATTTGCAAAAATAAATTTTAAAATGATGTATGTCAAAGAGGCACAGAGTAAGTTTCAAAGTTACTGCCAAGCTTCCTAAACTTATGCAGGGTGGTGAGTACGTGGATGTTCATTTTGTTATTTTTATACTAGATAGATAAGTAGCTATGTATATAGACAGATTTTTTTATTCTTGAGAAATATTTTATAACTTGACTATTTAAATCCATCAAGAAGGTAATTATTAAATGATGGAAGTGTATGATCACAAACTAATAATAATACTGTGTCATACGGATCAACAATTTGTGATATAAAACATTTGAGCTGGAATCGACTCGATGGCAATGGGTTTGGGTTTTTTTGGTTTTTATAGCCCGAAAGTATAAATAGAGGAATTACATCTGTATTTGTTGCTGATATTAGCTGCTGTTGAGTTGGCCCTCAACTCATGGCGGTACAATGTGACAGAGTAGAATGGCTCCACAGGGTTTTTTCGGCTGTAATTTTTATGGAAGCAGATTGCCAGGCCTTTTTTTCTGTGGAGCTGTTGGGTGGGTTCAAACTGCCAACCGTGAAGTAAGCAGGTGATTGCAAACAGCTTGCACCACCCACACGCTTTACATTTGATATTTAGACAATAAATAAATCTCAAATCTTTACTGGAAAATTAAAATTCTACTACAGAACCATGATATGGAAAAAACTAAATCCAAATCCAGTCACATTGTATATAATAAATTCAAGATTAGTAGGAAAGACCGTAAGAGGCTGCATAAAATAAGGAAATAAAGCAAATAGGATTAAGCTGTATAATAAGGTGAAAGTGACAGTGAAGATTCTCCTAAAATCATTTGTTGTTGTTAGGTGACATATAGTCACTTCCAACTCATAGCAACTCTATGTACAATAGAACCAAACATTGCCCTGTCCTGCACCATCCTTACAATCATTGCTATTTTTGAGCCCATTGTTGCAGCCGCTGTGTCAATCCATCTCATTGAGAGGCTTACCCTTTTTTGCTGAGCCTCTACTTTAACAAGAATAATGTCCTTCTCCAGGGTCTGGTTCCTCCTGATAATATGTTCAAAGGATGTGAGATGCAGTCTCGCCATTGTTGCTTCTAAGGAGCATTCTGGCTGTACTTCTTCCAAGACAGATTTGTTTGTTCTTCTGGCAGTCCACGGTATATTCAATGTTTTTCACCAGCAGCATAATTCAAAGGCATCAATTCTTCTTCAGTCTTCCTTATTCATTGTACAGCTTCAAATGCACATGAGGCGATTGAAAATACCATGGCTTGGGTCAGGTGCACCTTGGTCCTCAAAGTGACATCTTTGCTTTTTAACACTTTAAAGAGTTCTTTTGCAGCAGATTTACCCATTGCAATAATACATCGTTTGATTTCTTGGCTGCTGCTTCCCTAGTCATTGATTGTGGATCCAAGTAAAATGAAATCCTTGACAACTTCAATCTTTTCTCCATTTATCATGATGTTACTTATTGGTTCAGTTGTGAGGATTTTTGTTTTCTTTACGTTGAGGTATAATCCATGCTGAAGGCTGTAGTCTTTGATCTTTATCAGTAAGTGCTTCAAGTCCTCTTCGCTTTCAACAAGCAAGGTTGTGTCATCTGCATATTGCAGGTTGTTAACAAGTCTTCAAGCAAGCCTGATGCTGCGTTATTCATATAGTCCTGCTTCTCAGATTATTTGCTCAGCATACTGATTGATTAAGTATGGTGAAAGGACACAACCCTGACATACATCCTTCCTGATTTTAAACCACGCAGTGTCCCCTTGTTCTGTGCAAATGACTGCCTCTTGATCTATGAACAAGTTCCTCGCGAGCACAATTAAGTGTTCTGGAATTCCCATTCTTTGCAATGTTATCCATAATTTGCTATGATCCACACAGTAGAGTGCCTTCGCATAGTCAATAAAACACAGGTAAATATCTTTCCGGTATTCTCTGCTTTCAGCTAAGATCCATCTGACATCAGCAATGATATCCCTTGTTCCATATCCTCTTCTGAATTTGGCTTGAATTCTGGCAGTTCCCTGTCGATATACTGCTGCAGCTGCTTTTGAATGATCTTCAGCAAAATTTTACCTGTGTGTGATATTAATAATATTGCTTGATAATTTCCACATTCTGTTAGATCATCTTTCTTTGGAATGGGTACAAATATGGATCTGTTCCAGTTGGTTGGCCAGGTAGCTGTCTTACAAATTCCTTGGCATAGATGAATCAACACCTCCAGCACTGCATCCTTTTGTTGAAATATCTCAATTGTATTCCGTCAATTCTTCAAGCCTTGTTTTTCACCAGTGCTTTCAGTGCAGCTTGGACTTCTTCCCTCAGTACCATCAGTTCTTGATCATATGCTACTTCCTGAAATGGCTGAACATCACCCAACTCTTTTTGATACCGTGACTCTGTGTATTCCTTCCATTATCTTTTGATGCTTCCTGCATTGTTTAATATTTTGCCCATAGAATCCTTCAATATTGCAACTTGAGGCTTAAATTTGTTTTCTTCAGGTTCTTTGAGCTTGAGAAATACCAACTGTTTTCTTCCGTTTTGGTTTTCTAACTCCAAGTTTTTGCACATTTCATTATAATACTTTATCTCCTCAAGCCGCCCTTTGAAATCTTCTGTTCAGTTCTCTTACATGATCATTTCTTTCATTGCTTTAGGTATTTTATGTTTAAGAGCAAGTTTCAGAGTCTCTTCTGACATCTGTTTGGGTCTTTTTTTTCTTTCCTGTCTTTCGTCATGCTTTCTTCATGTATGATGTCCTTCCACAACTCATCTTTTCTTCAGTCATTAGTGTTCAATGCGTCAAATCTATTCTTAAGAGGGTCTCTAAATTTAGGTGAGATATACTCAAGGTTCTATTTTGGCTCTTGTGGACTTGCTCTAATTTTCTTCAGCTTCAACTTGAACTTGCATAGGAGCAATTGATGGTCTGTTCTGCGGTTGGCCCCTGGCCTTGTTCTGACTAATGATATTGAGCTTCTCCATCATCTCCTTCCACAGATGTAGTGGATTTGATTCCTGTGTACTCTGTCTGGTGAGATCGACGTGTATAGTCACCTTTTATGTTGTTTAAAAAAGGTATTTGCAATGAAGAATTCATAAGCCACCTCCATATGACAAACTGAAAGACGAGTGGTGGAAAAATCATTTAGCATGCAACATGGTGAAAGAGTAATGAGCTGGAATTCAGGAGACCCTGGCTCTGGTTTTAGTTTTCTCTGACAAGCTGTAAGTTGTTGACCAAGTTACTTAACTTTTCCAAACCTTAATTTCTTGTTCAATAAAAAGGCACAGTTGGCCAAGATATCTATGCAAATTTCTCTAGCTCTATTAGTCTTTGTACTTTGCCAAGGTTCAGCCACTGTCACAGCCAAGCTGACCTTAATGCAATCACACCAACTTAAGACACTGTAACTAGACTGCATATACATCACCGAATTTCACAGCAGAAAGGATACTTCCACTGATAACTCTTGCACATCGTTGAACCAGAGGGTGGCCTTATCTGAGCTTCCAACCTTTCTTTAATAACTTTGCATTCAACAAATCCCTCTTCCTTTGAAGCTCACACTATCCTTTCTCAATGTGCGCTTCCTCTCCTGTGACCTCCAGATAACTCCTTCACATTTCTGAATACTTGGCATCTTCATAAAGCTTTGTTCTTCATACCAGTTGTCTCCAAGTTCCTTACAGAATGATCCAACCAGTACTCTATTTCAATAAGAAGGAAATGAGACATCTATGGAAGCTAAATGGTGAATTGGGCAAGACGGCACAAGACCAGGATCTGGTCTTCTGGTTCCCAGGTTCAGACATTGAGTTTCCTCAGTCTGATCAAATGTGATCAGGCTTAAGGGAAGTGGTTCTCTACCACTATAAAATGCAAGGTTCTGCTTATAAGGGAATATGGCAATTGCTTAATTTATAATGGAGCATATGCTTTCCCTGGGACAAGAACATGTGTGTCTCCTACACTTTCTTGGAATTAGAGTGAGGTGAAGGTAGAGGTACCAGGCTGATACAAATACCTATTCTAAGTATTATAATAAAGGTATATATAGGATTCTATGGGAACAAAAAGGAGCCCTGGTGGTACAGTGATTACGTACTCGACTGCTAACCAAAAGATCAGCAGTTCAAACCCACCATAAAGATTGGAAGAAAACAAAACAAAACTCACTGTAATTGAGTTGATTCTGACTCATCGTGACCCTGTAGGACAGAGTAGAATTGCCCCATAGGGTTTCCAGGGGGTGGTTGGTGGATTTGAACTGCCAGCCTTTGGTTAGCAGCCTGAACTCTTAACCATTTCACCACCAGGGCTCCCATAAAGATTACACCTAGGAAATCCTATGGGCAGTTCTACTCTGTCACATGGAATCAATATGAGTCAGAATCAACTCATCAGCAAAACAACAACATAGGAACAAACAGAAGGGGTTCCTTACACAGAATAATTGAAAGGAGGAAGGTGTTGAGTTGAATTTTGAACAGTGCATAGGAGTCAAGGAAAAGAAAGAGTATATGGCATTCTGGAAAACAAGAACAAAGGAAAACAGAGGTAGCGATGCAACATATGCAAGGAACATCATTCCCAATGATTGAAGTTTAAGAATGGGCAGGTAGTGGTGGAGGTTGGAGAGATGCTAAATTCCTGGGCAGAATATGGAAAATAAGGCAGGAGATAGGCATAAATTAAATATTAATTGGCCTCATAGGTCACGCTGTCTATCTATTTCGATGGCTTCAACTATCATTCACAAT